TATCGAACAATGTGCTTTAACAAAAGACACATTTTTTGTGTTTAAAAGCAAACATGATGAGCTTCAGAATTTTGATAGCAAATTTAAAAATGATTTTATTTATTAAATGATTTGTGTTTCTTACCTTATTTTGAGTATATTGATATTAATTCTCAAAATATCTACACAAATGCTGATCAGAGTCGTCCACCAGGCCAGGTATCTGTATAAAACCTACATCTACTGGTAGAAAACAAACCATAATATTTCATGGGTGCGGGCACGGGTATAAATGAACAAAATGCAGGAAGGTATCATACAGAGAGTTACAGCATGAATTAGACTTATTTATATTTTCTTATTCATTAAATCTACATCCTAAAAATTTAATTTATTCAAGAATATCCAGATAACAGTATTTATGATTGATTTTAATTAATCATTTTTTTAAGCAACGAGGCAAACCTTCTTACTTTCTTTAATTTACAGCTGTTAATCTGTGAGCGCACAGGATGTGAGTGTGAGGCCATGTTCTTTACTGCCTCTGTTATTATAAACAGCTGTGAGTACACTTTATTGTCATGGTTCAAATCGCCCATTTTTATTTATGGGTCAGTGTGGTACCGGACCGGTTTTTAATGGGGATTCTCACTTTCTTTCTCAGTTTTGACAAATTAGACCCGTGCAGGGCTGATGTTGATTACTCAAGCACTGGGACCCTTTTACAATTATGTTGGGTTTTTTCCAGAGCTTTTGTACAGTACCTGCATGAAAAGTAAATGTTTACTTCACACTAGGCTTCATTACATCAAAATCACTATTAATTGATATGAGTAATAGATGCTTTAAGTCCAATGTGTGTACATATAGAGGAAGTTCCTCTGATACACTGTATTGTGAAAAACTATTTTGGCAAAAGCACTTAATAAAATATGGTGCTGGCAATATTATGAGGTTGGATGATTCATCTGCAGGAACAGAGAAGGTGGTCCGAGTTGATGGGATGATGAATAAAAAAAAAAACTCTTGGAAAGAATAACCTTTTAGAGGCTGAATAAATAGTGGCGATACAGATGGGGGTTCCCTTTATGGCTAAAACCCCCCTAAACATGAAGCAAGAACTACATATTATACTCTCAGTCTGCCAATGGCTTCCTGTAGAAATAAGGGTAGGTTTCTCTCTCTTTGTCTCAGATGGAGGAATTCAAATATCTTGGTGTACTATTTGTAAGCGATAAAAGGATGAGTGGCTTCCTTTGGAGGTTTTTGGGGCATGTCCCACTTAGATAAGACCTCGAGGAAGAGCCAGTAAATGCTTGAGGGAGTATTTCTCCCTTCTGACCTGAGACATAAGCTGGAAAGTGTTGATGGGACATTCATGAAAATGTAAAGTCCAGTTAAAATCTACACCTATATATAAAATAGAAGACGCAGAATGACCAAACACTGATGTTCATAGATATCCGTACAATCTGACATAGCTTGGCTGTTTCAAAAAGGGTAGGAATATATTTCAGACTCTAGACTTGAGGGAGCAGAAAGCATTTTCACCAGTAGGGACGCTGTTGAACACTGTCTGTACACCAAAACAACGCTACATTCTAATACCTACCTAATATCTACCAATCTCACTGACATGATACACAGATAATCCAGTTATAAAAACTAATAATATTAATAATAGTAATATCATAAATTCCTCCTGCGTATTTCAAACTTACTACACATTGTGCCACCTATGATTTCCTTTATTGCATTAATATATAGTTTTATTCATTCTGATATACAGTGGGAGATCTATTAGTTCCCTTCTCTTGTCATTTTGATTGGTAATTAAAGAGACAACACACTCAAGTTGCTGTTGGTGTAAACACACAACCACATAGTAAAAACAGAACAGAAAAGACTATTGGGTCATATTTACCTTAAAAAACCTTAAAATCTAAGCGACAGTTGTCCATTTTAATTTTGGATTAGTTGTTAAATAGAGAATTGTGTGATGTCCTTAGCGTATTTAATCGATACATTTATTTCTTTGCCAACTATTTTTAAAGTTCTTTTTATCTAAAACAATGAAATTTCACTTTTTATCTTGTTTAGGCTAGTAAAAACATCCCAGAATTGTAGCAGTTTTTTTTATCAGGAGAACTGAATGTGTCTGCATTACAGTGTTGGATGTTCAGATTTTGATTTGTAAGAACATGCACACTGTCATGCATGCTTCACAATTATCTTTTAAAGTGTAGTTCCTTAACATGAACCAATAAATAATGTACTGTTTATCGCCTGCTTTGTTTGCTGGCGCTCTTGCACGTCTGAGACCTTCACAGCCCCTGCTCTGTTGGTACGATGTGGCCTTCTAATATTTCAAGGAGAGTTAAAGGTGCTGTTTATTAACAGGCTGTCACATATATTGGTATTCTGTCCTGGTTTAAATGACAAAGATGGAGAATTGGATTTCTAAATTTAGCCTGCTGGATGGAGACCAACTAATGGGTATTTGTGAAAGGCAGGCTAAATGTGCATTTAAAATGGATAGAAAAATTTAAAAAAGCTCAGCCATGAATACGTACGCCAAGATTGTGTTTAACTACTGACTGATGGGGGTTTATAAGTGAGCTGGACAGCCTCTTTTTATGTTACGAGTATGTCAGTTAGTGTGCATAAGATGGTCTGGTGCAAGCTATTATTTTCTGTTATTTCAAATGCTGAAGAGAAAGGTATGACTGGCATTTTTGCTGAGTTTAAAAGCAATAAATAAATAAATACACTTGTTAAATTCTTGATAGTAAGAAATACAAGCATTATTAGTATATTTCATAATTTCAGAATAATATTGGTATTTTGAAATATAGCTTTTTAACAAACAACACTTTTTTTTTTTTCTTTAACCAGCTAATTCCGTTTTTATGTTGAATTCTTAGTGACTATGATGCAGGTGAACCTATTTCTGAAAATGTTTCAAGTCACAAAGTTTATATATTTTTTTTCTATCTGAATATGACCACCACTGTTGACTTATATAAGAATAAATGGTTTACTAGCTTGTTCCAATTCATGCATAAAATCATAAAATCATTGTCTCTAACAATTCAAGAAATTCAACACTCTGCATCAAAGAACATACCCTTGTTAAGACATTTACACACGTAAAACAGTGTGAGTGTTTTTTTGTGCACTCTAAATTCCAGTCTGACCAGATGACTGCTGCACCACTGAAGAATTACTGTGCTCTTTAAATGTCAGTCTGTGCATATAGATCTGTGCATAATAAGTATAGGTGTGAATATTAGTTTTAATTCTTGCCAAAACTGAATTAACACACTGTAACTGATGTTTGGATTTTGGTTTAGTAAAATTTTCCCTGGTGAACACACAGTGAAATAATCTATGATTAACTACAGTATATTCAGTATCAATTATATATTTCCCAAATAATAAGTTGTTGTTAGGCTGTCAGTTCTATTATAATGTTTTGTTTTATTTAATGAGGGAATTATTCACATAACATATCAATTTACAATCCCTACTTTACCTTTGACCTTAAATTAAGAAGAGACAAAGTAAAACATAAAAATTGATATAATGATAAAATACAGTAGCAAGATTTGTATTTAAAAAAGTAGATTAAATTTTGGTTTGGTATATTTGGTGATGAACATTTTTATGCAAAACACAATAGTCCATAGCAGCATTAACGGTTTTAGAATTGTCTAAAGTGCTCATCGAAATTCGTTCTTCAGGCTTCCTAAAACATCTAACAAAAGTTGCTACCTAGAGATTAAGTTTTAAAACACAGAATAAGCATTGGTTCCTGTTCATTTGCTTCTCTTTGACCAAAGGATACTCAGGTCTGCTTCCAAGTGATAGGTTTGGTCTGTCTAGGTTTTCTCTTTGCAAAAAGAAATTTAACTTGTGGAAAAAGTTGCAAGTTGCAACAAACTCATCTACATTAAGAGTTTTTAATGAATTATGAAGTATTCTATATCTGCATAACCTAAATTGGTGTTTATATTTGATGCAGGTAGCTTTGTTGCCTATTGGGATTCTGTGTCCTCTACATTGAAAAAAATTATGCTAATATTTTTGGCATTTACTTAATCATTTTTATTTACTTTAACACAATTGTTTTACGTTAGCAGGGTAGGACATAAAACTTTTGTGTTAAAGTAACTAAAGATGATTAAGTAAATGCCAAAAGCGGTTGCATAATTTTCTTTTTCAGTCTAGAAGACATAGAAATGCTCTGCCTTTTCTGTGTTTCACTCCATATTTCTAGTATTGGATGTTCAAAGCTAATTATTTATTTATGTTTAAATAAGAAGTAAATCAAATTTTGGAAAAACCTGAAAAATTTACGTTTTGATGAATGCCTTTTGCAAACAGTAACCTTCTTTGCCATAACAGATCATTTCTTGCAATTTAATGATTTTTGCTGGGTAATACATATAACTTATACTAAAGACATGTCTCTATTTTTCAGTTCTGCAAATTTCCATTTGTAAATCATTAAAACTGAATCATGACAAAGTGTGAATGTGTGAACTGCAAGATCTGCACAATAGCTATTACCATTCATGGAAGGGGTTTATATTTTCTATACTATAAGTTTTGCTTGTGGTGTGTTACATCATTAACAAAACAGTAACGGATTTCAGCTACCCTGAATGTAGAGTTGAAAAAAATTGAGAAAAAGGTTTAATTTGCTGTTTCCAGTTGTAAAAACCCATATGTTTCTATATTTGTATTCCTTTGATGCAGGATTATTCAACAGTCTAATAGATTTGTGTTGAAATTCCTGTTTATATAAATCTAGTTTTAATTATACAAATTTTTGTTTATGCATTTTTGAAACTATCTTGATCAGAACTCTTAACATTTGTGCCTTAGGAATATTTTCCTATATAAGCACTTTTTGTGAAGGCACTGCTCACTGTTATGCATGTTTAGATTTTGCTGTATGTCCCCACAGAGAGTACTGAATGTTTTCGCTATTACTCTTTTTCTACCCTCTGGGGCCACAGTACAGGGAAAATTAAAACTGCATTATTTATCGAAAAAAAAAAACTAAACAGAACAGTTTTTTCCAGGCCTACTGCAAACTTTCAATGCTCTCTTTTGTTATGCAGCATTCTGTTTGACTTCTGTTTGGCTTTTCTAATCAGAGTTAATTCATCTTTTGTTTTCCATATCTGTTGTTTTCTCTCATAGCAACTCTTCCAGTGCCAGGCCCTAAAGAAGCTGAGCTTGCCTGATAACGACCTTTCCAATCTTCCTACCACCATCGCCAGCCTGGTTAACCTCAAAGAGTTAGACATCAGTAAAAATGGTAAAGATTTCATGCATATGGAACTATATTTTCTAATAACTGCATTCAGCAGCAAAAATTCAGACATAACTCCCAGCACAGACATTGCTTTAAGGTACTTCTTTAATCTCAGAATGCCTATTTTATGCTATATCACTGTTTATAATGATGCACTCCAACAGGAATCCAGGAGTTTCCAGATAATATAAAATGCTGTAAAGGCCTGTCTGTGGTAGAAGCCAGCGTCAACCCCATAACAAAGTAAGACTCCAACACACTCTAACACTCCAAACCGGAACCTCGAGCTGTTTCGACAAAGCTTTATTTTATAAGCTCATCAAGAAAGATATTTTAGAAGATAGTTAGCACAGAAACAGTTACCTTTCATAAAGTCTTCAAAGCCTTGATGTTGACATGTTGATATCCAGACATGGTAAAAACAATCACCATGTCTGCACTGTTTACGTTAGGGTCAGAAATCACTAGGGAACATGTTGACTGACAAATTCCAGAACAGCAGTAAACAGCTACACCTTGCAGGATAATCATCTAAATTTAGAAGCTGTTGTGATGGACCAGAGTTACTGACTTTGATTCTTTTTAGCTAGTGTCCTGGACTCTTTGCCTGAGGAATTTATTTCAGATCAGAGGGAAATTTGACAATACATTGAGTTGTGATCACTTAAACTTTACTTGGTTTAAGAAGAGTTTGACCTCTGTGATCTGCTGTTTTTGGACTGACTGTGCCTCAATTGAAAGAGTAGACATTTTGCAAAGCTATAAAGTCGCAAAGTTGTAGCATTGTTTCTAGCTTCTCACATTTTCGCATGTTTTGCACCCCTGGTAAAGGGGTAAAGCCTAAATTCCAGCAGAATCTGGCTGAATGTGGCTTAGGTGAAAAGTGCTTTAAATGTCAGCACAGTTGGATTCCATACAGTCTGATATATATGACTATAATAATATAAATATATTCCATATATACATATATATAGTCTCATATATGCACACAGAACAGCCAGAAATTTCCTAACAACTTATTTCTAGTGGCAGAATGAGCTGTGTTTTTGCTTCTTCTCTCTGGTGTTTTATAAAATATTTTTGCTTGTATAAACGTTTTTCTGCAGGGCTTCCTAAAGCCAGCCCACATGTAATGTGGTTTAGCTGCTGTGCAGTTGCGGTGCGGGTGTGCTGCAAAAAGTTACACACACTGAAAGCTGTGACTAGGCTATCCCTGCTGAGCCCCCAGCTGCATAAATGCCACTCGACAGAAATTAAGTTCATGAGGTTTATGCTGTTTTGGGGAGTTGTACAGCAAAACTTATTAGAGGTGCACATTGATATCCCTTCTCATCGTCCAATAGCCCCTCTGTTTTTGTACTTGCACAGTACCTTCTGCATTATCCAGGACCAGGTCACAGTGCAGAAGTCTCAGCAGAGACTCCCAGACTTCCTTCGCCCTAGACACCTCTTACAGCAATGCTGAGTGAAGCCAGAAGTGCTCCCTTTTCAGCTAAGAGACATAGTCCCTCCAGCATGTCCTGGCTTATGCCCGAAACTTTCTCCCGGTGGGACGTGCCTGGAACACATCCTGAGGGACATGTCCAGGAGCGGCATCTGAAAAATATGTCAAAGCCACCTCATCTAACTCCTCTCGATGTGGTGGAACAGGAGCCCTGTGGATGAAGCTTATTTCAACTACTTGTATCCAGGATCTGGTTCTTTCTGTCATAATCCAGATTTTATGACCATCAGTGAGGGTAGACCGACTGGTAGATGTAGACCAACTGGTAAATTAATGTCTTCTCGTTCAGTTCTCTCTTCAGCTCAACAGGCTGGTGCAGTTTTACAGCATCTACCATATCGATTCATCAGTTGATCTCTGCTCCATTCTCCCCTCACTCATGAACAGGATCAGAAGATACTTAAAGATACAGTGGAGGATTTTCACAATTTTTTTAAAAGACCTGCCCTCTCCACTTTAAAAAGAATGCACATGCACAACACTTAATCGCTTCAGAGAGGGAAAGCTTATTAAACACGTGTGAGAGAATGCCAGAGGCCGTTCTCCTCGTGTACGCTCAGTTTGAAAGTTGTTGTTCTCATAGCTCATACAAGCTTACTGTGTTTGAAATTCTGCCCTAACCCCTAAAACCCTTCATCACTATATAGAGTGGGGACTAAATAGTGGACTTTATTGTGAACTCAGTTAACTGACGATTTGGACAGATGATCACTACTTTTTGCTCCCTGTTGGTCACATAACTCCAACTCCACCGCTCAGTGCCTGCACCATCTTTATCATTAGTCACCGCTGTTGGTTAGCCACAGCCTACTGTATGGCAACAACAGCCCATTGTGACAGAAAATCCCATAATGCTTTGCTCGGAGAGCTCTCCACGCAAAGCATTCCAGGATATATCTGCCTCTTCTAAGGCATTTATTTTCTTCTCATACACTTCATTGACACTTTTTCTATTACAATCCTCTGCAGTTTTCAAAGAACCGTGGTGAGAAACGTGAGCTTCAATGACTGTCTGAAACCGTAGCTCATCACACATGTACGCCTGAAAGTGCGAATGCACAGAAGAAGATATCTAACTGGGGACGTGCACATACCTAGGACGGCTTTACGTAAATATATCACCAGAATGATTGACAATTACAGTAGGAGGAATACTTATTTTGATGATCTAACCAGAAAAATAAAATCCTCCACTACCCCTTTAAAGTTATCCGCTTGAGACAGGAACTGTCCTCCAACCTAAAGGATACAAGCCACCTTTTTATTCAAGAACCATCGTTTCGGATTTTGAGGAGCTGATTCTGGGGCACTTTGCACCTGGCAGTAAACATCCCCCGTGCATGCTGTAGGTTTTGAGAGGAGGGAGCCTCCAGATCAGGGTCGAAATTCACTGGTTCCCAAATCAGACCCCCTCTAGCCTTTGGCAGTGCCAAGAAATCCTGTTAATAAAGGCTATGATCAAGATTGGTGAAAAAATGCAGCCTTGCCGGAGTCCAACATGCACCTGGAACAGGTCCGACTTTATGTTGGCAATGCAGACCAATTTCCTGCTTCACTTGTACAGAGAGCGGATGGCTCCTTTCCCCTGGATTCAGGAGCTTGATGCAAAGACAATTTGCGTCAGGCAAAAATCTGTTTTTGGGGAAACACTTTGTTGATCTGCACTGCTTTGGTGTACACTGCACCACAGCTGATGTGAATGTACACATTGATTTGAATGATTTGGATTGCTTGCATCACCCACACTTCAGCTGCACAGCAAACTACAAGTAGAAAAGTAGAAAAAAAAAAACAGTTTGAAATATTTTTTATGACACTTTAAATATGTAAGATAATTTTAAAATCAAATTGATTTAATAACATACTGTATGTAAGCTTTTTATTCTTGCTTATTATCTGAAGGAGAGTTTGTGTATGTTTACAAACACTAAACATGCAGTAACTAAGCTAATTTGCTAATGCCTGGTTGGCTTTTTTATGATTGCTCATCAGATCCACATATTTTTAAAAAACACATTTTTTTTATCTTTGAAGTCTCAGGTGTGCATTTATAATTCCCATTTTCTTACCTGCTGATGTTGATGAAGTAAAGAATGCTGCAGAGGTAAATGTTTCCTATGTGTCTGTGTTGCGCTTGTGCTGCAGATGAGTCATCTCCAGGCCAGCAGCGTTTAGTTGCTTCTGCAGCCATGCAGAAATTGGCCATGTTTCCTCCCACAGGAGGAAACTCTTTTTCTTATTCCTCTTTTGCACCTTGCATTGTTTTCTGTCTTTTGTTTCATGTGTGTTTTTTATATTTTAATTTTTTTTATTTTATTAAATATTTCTCTTTAAGACTCCCAGATGGTTTTACGCAGCTCCTGAATCTGACCCAGCTCTTCTTAAATGATGCCTTCCTGGAGTATCTGCCCGCTAACTTTGGCAGGTGAATTGATACATGTGTTTATCTTTAGTTGTGTTTTATTTTGGATGGTCGGGATTAACGCAAACATTTACTCTTAATCTATAACCTCTATTCATATATTCTATTTAGTGTTTAACATATTTTTGAAGATGCATTTACCATGAAGGATTTATATAAGGAATATGCCTTTTTGGTTAATTCTAAAGCTTATCTGTTGAGCAGTGTCATTTGATATGACTATTTAAAAGCTGTGTGAGTGGGTGCTGGTAATTGAAGTCTGTATTGAAAAGATCCTATAAAAAAATCAAAATTACTGGATATTTGTTGAAAAGAACAAAAAGATATCTAACAGAATGATTTTAGAGATTAACTTTTCTTTTTCACTTCATTTATTTTTGTGTACTCTTTTTTTGTTAATCCTATTGAAGACTGTTGCATCTGGCAGAGTGCAAATAAAAGGAATTAGGTTTAGGCTTATGTTCCTTCTGTTATTCAGGCTCTCCAAACTACGGATTCTGGAGCTGAGAGAGAACCACCTGAAAACCATGCCAAAGTAAGACAGGGTACCATATGAACATTTGTATGTTGGAAAAAAATAACTTATCTTAAGAAAAATAATAACCCTGCTTGTTTTTGTGTTAGTTCATGTGAAACTCAATATGGATAACATTTCCATTTTCTGTCTTTCCAGGTCCATCCACAGACTGACACAGCTGGAGAGGCTGGATCTGGGTAGCAATGAATTCTCTGAAATGGTAAGATCAGTTTGTCTAATGCCTTACTTTTCACCACTTTTACTAGAAATGTTCAGAATAATATAGGTAATATAGATTAATTGAATTGGACTGTGTGGTGGGTTGCATATGGTAATAAAAGTAAAAGGCTAAAGAATGGAGAAGCAGGACTTAGTAAGTGTAAAGAAGGACTATTATAAACACTTGCTCACAAATACAAATAAGGAAACCACAGGGAGTCCAGGCTAGTGTGATGCTCTAATGGTTCATGTACTGTACAACTCTGCTGCATTTATTATGTCCAATGTTAAAAGAGACAAATAACAGATAAGTAGACCTGTTATGATAAAGCATGGATAACCTTTTTTCTTCAGCTTTGAAAGACCCTCTCCCTCACAACTTAATTCATTTGAGGATTTTTGTAGATGGATTCTACAATCTCTTAACTCATTAATCCCTCTTATTTTCAAGGTTCTGGTTCTGGTTTGTCTGACAACATGGATACTGAAACACCATAAAGCTTCTGAATTTCCAGTTGTAGTGGTTATTGATTGCACAGGGACAGTGTCTGCATAGCATGTTGAAATACTGAGTCTTCAACATAAGTTTTAACATCATCAGCCATGAAAAAAAAAACAAAAAAAAACTAATGTTATTCTTATGGCTTTTGTACCATCTGACCTTTCACTGAGCGAGTCCATTTAAAAGCAGCAGGGAGTAGAAGCTTTTCTCTCCAACCCAACCACCTCTGTTCTGTCAGACCACCAATAATCTTCCACTGTCTGTAATTAGGTCAAGGTACTGGAAATATTACCACAAGCATTAACAGCAACTGAGACATATGCTTGCAGTTTTCTTTTATGTTTTATGCCTCATGACATTAGTCTACCTAGTGGCGCAGTGGGTAGCGCTGCTGCCTTTCAGCAAAAGCATCTGGGTTTGATTCCCGGCCCATCTCTTTCTGCATGGAGTTTGCATGCTCTCCCTGCGCATGTGTGGGTTCTCTCTGGGTACTCCTGGCTTCCTCCCACAGTCCAAAAACATGACTGTTAGGTTAATTGGCTTTTCTAAATTCTCCTTAGGTGTGAGATTGTGTGTGAATGGTTGCGTTGCCCTGCGATGGACTAGCGACCTGTCCAGGGTGTACCCCGCCTCTCGCCCCGGTAGACAGCTGGAGATAGGCACCAGCACCCCTTGCGACCCCACTTGGGTTAAGTGGGACAGAAGATGGATGGCTTCATGACAACATTAAATCATGTTTTAGTAATCGTATATGTTCTGGGGTTGTTTGTTAACTATGTGCTAAAGTGGCATGCTAAAAAAAACACTCTATGTAATAATATCCCTTCAGTACTGTGCACTAGTTATACAAGTTATTTACATACTTAAAGTAGTTTGTATGGGAAAACAGAGACATCATATTTTAGGAGTTTCATTTAAGCTGTAAAAAAAATATTTTCAGAAAGCTAAATAGGGCTATCCTTGCTGATTTTCCTCTACCTCTTGGCCTGTATGTATTTACTTTGTATTATTTAGCACTTATTAAACCTATGAAAGTAGAAATAAACAAAAAAAAAAATTCTTAGTCAATAGCACCAGACTGAATGGTTTCCTTTGCATCAGAAAGCAGATATTTCCGCCCCAGAAAAAGAAAACCTGTTATTAGTCCTAGAGTTTATTCTCTTCCACAAAGTAATTTCCAAAAGTAATTTCCAATTTCATAGTTAAGTCATGTATAGAATTAAATATGGACACCTGTAATCCTAAAGAATTAGCTTTTGACCTACAAAAAACTCTTTTTCATTAAATCATCATTACAAACATACAGTTGCTCTGTGCCTGATTCTGTTTGCTCTGTCCTTGTATGGTCAAAAGAACTCACATGTCATGTGCTCCTTTATTTTCATTTTTGATTTTATAATAACTTACATTAAAGCATATTAAATCTTTTTGCTTCGTAGCCAGAGGTGCTGGAACAGATACACAGCCTTAAGGAGCTGTGGCTGGATAACAACTCTCTACAGTCTATACCTGGGGTAAGTGGACTTTCACCTTAGGCAGGAACAAACAAGTATAAAGTAACGCATTGTTGCCAACTTTTACTTCTTCATCTGTCTTTCTGCAGTCAATAGGGAAGCTTCGTCAGTTGCGGTATTTAGATTTGGCCAAAAATCGCATTGAGTCTTTGGACAGTGACATCTCTGGCTGTGAGGCCTTAGAAGATCTACTGCTATCCTCCAATATGCTGCAGCATCTGCCAGACTCTATAGGTACATACCTACATAACCAGCTTGGGTTTTATTCACAAGGACTGATATATACACACAGTGAGATACAAATTTAACACATGAAATAATAATAAAAAAAGAAACTCAATGATCCCACTTACTTAAGACCAATATAAATATAACAATTAACCAAGCAGCTATGTACATTTTTTTCAGAAACCTTAAACAGACAGTTAGTCTCACATTGTGAACATATAAGAAAAAATAATGTTCCCAATGTAATTTTTTTTATGCTTAGTCCTACTTTCAAGTTGAAACAAACTATCCTGATAATGGCTGCAGCTTTCAAGGGTACATAAAGGGTAGTATTGATCTTCTATAAGTTTCTGCCAATCGGCTACGAATCTGCATATGACCATCTCCTTAATATGTCCCTTAGTTTATATTGAACTATGCTGTAGAACACTGTGTTGATGCTGAATGATAATTATGAATGATCTTGCTAAAAACAGAAAGAGTGAAAGTTAAGTGTTTGTATTACCCATGTGGGAATTTGTACCTGTGTGTCTGCATGTGTTGCAGGAATGCTGAAGAAGCTGACCACTCTAAAGGTAGATGACAACCAGCTGACCGCACTGCCTCACACTATTGGGAGGTGAGAATCCAACACAGATTCTTCAAAAAAATCTAACCCTTTAACAAATGTCAGGTCAGATAAATGGGCTTGCAATAGTGTTTATACCCCATTGAACTTTTATCACATTTTAAAACCAAACATTTGACTGTCTTTTAGTTATATGTTAAGTGAAAGAACAGCACAAAGTAGACGTAGGGGTCTCCAGTCCTGATCCTCAAGATCTACTGTCCTGCAAGTTTTAGATGTATCCTTGACTAGTTTCTTAATTATATTTAACTCAGGTATCATTTTCGTTTTTACATGAATCGAGTGAATGGCTTGTTGCCAGCCCCTTGCCAAACGTCATTGCAACCTGAAGATGTAATTCCATCATTTGAATTAGCTGTGTTAGAGCAGGGATGCATTTAAAGTCTGCAGGGCAGTAGATCTGAGTACCAGGGTTGCAGACCCTTAAGTAGATTCTACTACCTAATATCTAGGTTTTATAGACAGTTCATGCCAAAAGTGGTGATACTCCAGATAGGTCTAGACCTGTTCGAATCGATAGCCGAGCTCTTCTGGCGTCTTTATTTTCACAGCCTTCGAAGGAGCCAGTCCAGGTAGAACGGGTCCTTCAGACCTACAGTGTGTAGTACTGTTGCAGGAATTTCCTAGGTTCAATTTCTGGCCAAAGATCTTTCTGCATGAAGTCTGAATGTTCCTCCCGTGCATGTGTGGGTTCCCTCTGGTTATTCCAGCTTGCTCTCACAGTCCAAAAACATAATTGTTTTTTTTTTTTAACTGATGTCTCTAAGGTGTGAGTGCATATGCATGCATGGTTGTGTGTCTCAGTGTTGTCCTGCAAAGTACTGCTGGTCTGTCCTGGGTTTCGCCCGGCTTTCACCCATAAACTGCTGATGATAAGCACCAGTCCCCAGACAACGGATAAATGATAGATAGGTGACCATCCTCTATATGATATAAGAATGGTTTTAATGGTGCTACAGACTATAATTTCATTGCTATTACGACAAGAAAGAATTTTCAATCATTTTTGACGATTGAGGAGGGCACACTTTTTTTTTAACACCATTTTAAATACACTAACTGAAATGGGCTTTAAGATGTGTTAAAAGCTTGGAATACTGTTTTATGACTTTACCATGTTGTACCTTTATACTTCTGCTGTCTGCTGTTTGCCTTGGTTTTAAGTGTTGTGTCTGTTCACAAATATTCTGCACAGAGCTTAGAACATACCCTTTGGGCTTCAGTGATTCAATCAGTGACTTTTTATTTTATGGAGTCAGATTAAAAGACACTAAATATACCACCATATGAACACTTAAGTTTTCTAAATTATATTTTTTAAATAAACTATGCATCCTTTACATTTGTCTTACTTTGTGTTGATCTATCACCTAAATCCTGATAACAAACTCTGATTCTTCTGGTTAAGGTGTCCAAAATGTGACAAAGGCTATGGATTATGAACACTTTAGCTGCAGATATTTGATTTTGTAATCATTGTTTTGTTTTATTTAAAAACTTCCTTCAGCCAATTCATCTTGGCAGTTTATAATGGATTGCAGATATAGGGGTTTTAGGTGGGTCGTTTATCTTGTTTATCACTGTATTGTAATGGCTGATTTTTGGTTGGGGGGGTCTGTGTGTTATGTTTCCTGCGGTGCCATGGCGTTAGTCCGAAGCCAAAGCAAGGGTGAGTAACATGAGCCTTCTGGATTTTAGGGCTTGTTCAGAGATAGATGTTCAGCCGTGCTGCAGATACAGAAAATAAAAGCTTGCTACCACATGCTGTCAATGTGGGGAACATTTCATATCCATAAAGATTACATGCAAACATTAAACAAAGTTATTTTACTGTATTCAGAGCTTGATTTAATCTTTAGATATGATTTTTATTCTTCAAAAACATCAATAGGAAAACCCACGGAGAATAAAATGATTGCATGTAATGTTACTGCAGTGGTATGACTGTAGTCTTGCTTACATCAATGCATAGGATGTGCAACATTAAATATATTGTCTGCTTTAAAAAGGTAGATATGTTGATTAATTAACCTGAAACATTTGTTAAATATAATTTTGGTGTTGTCTACTGTTCTTCATATTTTTATTTAGATTTTATGTAAGACTTATATAATTTGTGAAAAGAATCATCTTTAAACTTTTGTTTCTTTGTTTCTTTCTGGCTGACTTTAGATATTCCATATAATTCTATATTGCTTATAAGATTGACATATTTGCAAGATCTGTATCTGAACACCCTGAAAGCTCTCTGTCTTCATGAACAAGTCCCAGGATTTGGTCTTGATAAGTAGTTCTGTAGATTAATGACTTCCCCTTAAAGCTCTTTTACTGTTTCACATCCATTGTTAGAAGTGTTTATTTTATTTTATTTTATTTTATTTTTTTACCCTTGTTTAATATTAAATCTTTATAACAAGACTTTAAATTAAATTTTTATTTTGCAGTTTACCTAATAGAATAAATATTTTTCAGTGTTAATACTCAACCAGAAAATTGAAAACAAGCCTTTAGATCTAAAGGCGTGGTAGTTTCTCAAAAGGAGCCATACAGTAATCAGCAACTTCTCCAAACCCCTTTAATAAGAGACTTAAACACCTGCTTTCAAACTCAGATGTCATGTTTCAAAGGTAGTGGTCTATACTGCCACTAAATCCAATTTGTACAAATCAGATTTATTTCACCTGGATAGATTTAATTTTATATTTTCAATAAAGGATCATAATGACTATATTTAATTCATAACCTCACACTACCTTCAAATTAAAAATGAGGTTTTTTTATCAAAGGTAACAGCTTGTTGGGTAGGGGTGGGGGGGTCAAAAAATTTTTAAAGATGATATTTTGGTGATTATGGGGCTGTGAAATGTTTGTTTAAAATTTTATGTAGATGATGAACCTCAGAGAAAAAGTTTGGCTCATAGTGGCCAGCCAATAGGAACGCTAACTTGTTTCTTAGTTATAGTGAACTGAGGTATAATTTTCTGCTAGTTTTTACTGGATATAAAACTGGATGGATCTTAATGATTATTTCCAACCAGAATGACTACACTATACACCCAATGGCGAAACTTCATTGGAAAGTGAAAAAACTGTATTTGAATCTAACTAACTTGAACCATAGCAGTAAACACAAATGTTATTCAAAATAAGACAACCTTTCCCTACACCTCTCCTTTTTCTTTGTCCCTTCTCATCTGCTCCCATTTTAGACAGTATGGTAGTCCAGATGGCCCCATCTGTTGGGAATAATAAGGCAGACTAATGTAATGTTAACAGTGAATGTAAAAATGTTTTCTCATTAGCATTAGCATGCTGTTACTTTGGTGTCAGACCACTGAAGACATGTAAAGGGCAGTCCAGTGTGCTATAGAGGGGTTGAACTAGATGCTACAACAAGCTGAGATCTATCTCTAAAAATAAGAAATATATATTCAGATTATATCTGAATCATTAACCTTTTAGTCCTCAGTGTAGCTGATGTTATTATAATAATATTAAGAAATTTCCATGTAAAGACTGAAACATCATAAGCTTATTTTAACAGTGGAGAAAAATTGTAGCCAAAAATTGTAGATATCATCCAAAATTATGCAATTGTCATTATTTTTAGTTAATATTTTATTTATATTTTCTCTCTGTTAATTTTTACACATGTTCTTTGCAATTACAACTGGGCGTAGCCTATTGGTTGAATCTTTTTTCTATAAATTCTATTTTTGTTCTAATAAAAAAAAAGGTCACATACTACAGGTTAAATGTTATTTATCTCCGGTTTCAGTCTTTCCATGGAATCGATCTCTTTCCAGAGAAAGAATATTGTTTAGAATAGCTACAGACATGTTACAGCCGTCAGAATGACTCCTCTTCTTTTCTTTTCATGTCCTCTCTTCTTTTCATTTAGCCTGTCTCTTTTGGAGGAGTTGGACTGTAGCTGTAATGAGCTGGAGTCGTTACCTCCCACTGTTGGCTACCTGCACAGCTTGAGAACTTTTGCTGCAGATGAAAACTTCCTCATAGAGCTGCCACGGGAGGTAAGCTTATTGATTTCAGCTCTGACACTGATACCAAACAAAACTTAAACAATACAGTTTTCAAATCAGAGGTTACTGTAATTTTTTTTTTTTAAATCTTCAGAAAGATTTTAATTTCACCACAAATACTGTAATCATTGAGTCCTCCCAAAAAAATTGTCCCTCTGTTAAGGTATCATTCTGTTAACCAGCCTGAAGCCGGTAATTAGCTTTACTTTTTTAGTCTTTACACTGTCATGTCTTATATCAATATTTTATATAATAAAAAGTAACCTGGTTTATTATGCTTGCTGTGTTGTAATTTTGTTTAAATGATACATTTCAGACAGGTGTTGCATGCATTTGAATTAGGCTAGCTTGATTCAACAATATGTAGAAACCCTTTTCAGCTGCAGGAATTTTGATGTGAGCTGGTGTGTTTCATATCAAGAGGCTGGATAATTTGACCTCCCTCTTTTCCAAAAGAGCTCAGGCGCAGTCATGGTGAATTGAGAGTATCTGTGAATTACTTTGCTCAAGTCTTACACAGATTCTTGATTGGATTAAGGTTTATACTTTGACTGAGCCATGTTTCAAGAAGATATGTGTTTGTTATAAGCCATGGTTCACAAACTCCAGAGTTTTGTTTTTCTTCTCCAAAAGAGACATAAAAACTTGGGAGTTTGTGAAGCATGGCTTTATTGGGTTATTAGCAGAGTGTAGAACTTGATTGTATGGTGAAGAGGTATTTTTGTCTCAGAGCTATTTTAAGTGGGCTTGACCTTGGATTAATCTAAAAGTTGTAATCATACTGGACCTTAGGGACTGACATTTGAGTTACTTGATGTAAACATTTTGATGGTAGTTCAGAATGTTTAGTGTTATTGTCTAACTGGAGGGTAAACATCTGTCCTTTCTTGCCTTTTTGCTTATTTTCTTACTCGATTGCCCTACATTTTGCTCCATTTTCCCATCGTCTCTTATTGGCCTTCATGTCACTTCTTAAAAGGTTTGCTGCTGTGTTGAGGGTAATGTGCAACATTACTTCTCTGTCATGCAGAGCATTTTGGATGTTGGGCTTAAATATAGTTTTAGTCTCATTTGACCCAAGCACTGCAGATACATTTTTTATGTGTCCCTTACTTGGTTTGTAGCAAATATATAACTTTTTTTTCTGGCTTGGTTTCAACAACATCTTTCTTCTTTCCTCTTCTCCATAAAGGTCAGGTTTGTTTCAAAAATGTTTGCCCAGCTCACCAATTTGCACACCTGAACTCTCTCTCTGATGCTTCTTTAAAGTTAAGCTGAGCTTATTTGATTATGGCTCAGTTTTGTCTGGATGGCTGTGGCAGTTGTGCACTTTAATCTTATTTCATTTTCTAGATACATTTTTTGGATTTTCTATAAACTAGTCCTTTAAAATTCTCCCCAACTTCTTAATGGGTCTTTTTAATATTCACCAACACACTGTTGAGCTCCTCATTGACTTATTACAAAAAAGGTGAATTCTGAAGGCAGTTTGTTTGCACTGGACCGTGCTTGGGCTTATCTGAGTGTAGCAGCCTGAACACAAATGCATGCTGTACTTTTTTTTTTTTTTTTTTTATTAGTTTCTGCCAAACAATTTTAAAAATGATCTATCATTATTCTCCTACTTCACAGTTCTGTTGTATATTGTGTGCCTCTAACACTTGAACATTTGTTATTAAAAAATAATGTAACACTATTCCAGAGTATACCCTTTTGCGAGGGACTGTAACTTATTTTGATGGCTTGAGTCTGTGTGTGTGTGTGTTCCTGTTTTAGATTGGTAACTGCAAGAATGTGACGGTGATGTCACTTCGGTCCAACAAGCTGGAGTTTCTGCCTGATGAAATAGGGCAGATGACCAAACTACGTGTTCTTAACCTCAGCGACAACAGGTAAAGACACGAGCATGCTGGTGCTCTGGGCTACGATTCCAGGTGGCAACATTTTTACAATCAGGCAATAATTTCTCAATGGCAGCTTGGCCGCTTTTCTTCTTACTGCAATAAGGCTTATGGTAACCATGGAAATCAGAGTGTGTTGCCATGGTAGCATGCTCTGCAGGCTGTACAGTGAGTGGGAACATGAAACATCTCTATTCTTTCCCACCCCCCTTCATAATATTTCTGTCTTCCTCCAAGGTTGAAGAATCTACCGTTTACCTTCACCAAGCTGAAGGACTTGGCAGCTCTGTGGCTCTCTGACAATCAGGTATCTGTCCATTTTCCTGCAGGCCCGCAGGAGAGAACACCTGCTAAGTGATATGCGTAACAACACTTCTAGCCATCGTTATGATAATCATATACCAGGTCTGGTTTACAAGCGGATTTACAGAATACTTCCAAAGGGTTTTCCATCACAGACTTTTATTTTGAAAAGCAGCATTTACTTTTGACACATTTGCTTGAGGAAAAGATGCATTGAGGATAAACAATACATATGTATTTTTGTACATGACTAAATCCAGAGATGATTAATTCTATGGATAATAAGAATAATGTTTTAGGTTGATCAAAGCAAGCAAATAGTGAATATATATTACCTACTAAAACCAGAAGCATTTTAAAAAAATGTTTTCTTTATTACATATTCATTTAAAATGGCTACACAAAGTATGTATTCATAAGGTACAGAAAATACATATTGAGATTTAATTATTAACCCTCTTGCCGCTATCGCCCACTGGTGGGCTCTAGAGGTTTAAGGAGCAAATAGG